TTTATACTTTGTGTGTCTGTGTGGGTGCAAACTGTTGAAATCTTTACTTAGTATAGTGTTGACCTGTATATAAAGATAATTGAAAGTAAATCTTGATGAAGAATGGGGTGGGAGAGGGAGCAGAGGTGGGATGGTTTGGGGGTGGGAGGGTGGTTATGGAGGAAGGAACCGCTATAATACAAAAGTTGTACTTATGAAAGTTATATCTATTAGATAAAAGCTTTCTATTAAAAATATTCTAAGATAAAATCAAGGGGGGCGGTCCTGTGGCATACTGGGCTAAGCCTCTGCCTATGGCGCCGGTATCCCATATGGGCACTTATTCGAGTTCCAGCTGGTCCTCTTCTGATCCAGCTCTGTGCTATGACCTGGGAAAGTGGTATAGGATGGCCTAAGTGCTTGGGCCTCTGCACCCGAGTGGGAGACTCAGAAGAAGCTCCTGGTTCCTGGCTTGGGATAGGCTCAGCTCTGGCTGGAGTTGTGGCCATTTGAGGAGTGAACCAGCAGATGAAAGACCTTTCTGTCTCTCTCTCTGCCTCTGCCACTCTCTGTAACTCTACCTCTCAAATAAATAAATCTTTTTTTAAAATAAGATAAAATCAAGATTCTGTTAAATGAAAAAAAGCACACTTTCTAAAATGGTGAGTTACAAAATAGTTTAACAGATTGGAAATCACAATTAGTGTAATATAAAATATGTTCATTGAGAAGAAAATTTGAAACATGACCGTTAGTTTATTAAAAAATAACAAGTTCTTTTCATTCACTTTTATCCATCTCATAAGTCCCAGAAGAGATGTTGGCCACAGTTTGTGAAGGAACTAAGATATTTTTCCCATAAAGCCAACTTGTAATTCTCTTCCTCTGACTTCTTCTTCTAGTCTTCCTTCATTATGTTGAATAGATGTTGAGAAGTTTTTCCCTATTTTTGGTGAGGTGGGTGGTTTCCAAACTGCCTGGACATTCCAGGCTGGTAGCTGCCTTCCTCCACTGGATCTAGGACTTTTCCAGCTTTTAAAATTATCTCAGCCAGTTCATGCTTCACATTCTTTATGTGACAAGTTCAGTCTCTTTAATTATGCACAGCTAAATAGCAGCACGAGCAAAGTACTTTTTTTCTCTTGCCAAATACTTTGGTGAGTAGAGACCCAGAACAAGCCCATCCTCTTACGTTAGGAGGTTTTGTAATCCTGTCTCAGTCACCTTTCCGGTGATCCATTTGGAATGGTGTAATACATGAGTTATTGATGTTATGTAGCTTTGGTAACCTCTTGGCTCAACAACCCTATTGCATGACCCTTGGTGCATTGGTTGGCTCTATTTACTTTCTTTTGAGTTAAGTTAAATAATTCTTCCTTTTGCTAAGTTTTATAATCAAATTCATTTTTTGTTTGAAACTGTGGCTAATACAGACATTGTAACCCAGGTCCATTGTTAGGAATTGGAGACTCTTTAATTGGATGCAAATTTTATACCTCTACAAAGAAAATGCAATTATTGTCACATACCATACAAGAAAAAAATTTAATGTTACTCATCTTCTGGAAACCAAAGCATAATAGCTGTACCTCTCAGCAAACCTGCAATATTAGCAAATCTGGTTTTTTTTTTTCCTAAAGAAATTTGAAGCATTTTAATCAATTTATCTGTTATCTCTTGGAAAACTTTCCACCCAGACATTTTTAAAATCTTGGTTTCTAAGAGCAAAAGATATGAAGCTGCAACTTAGTGACTACTAATTCATTTAATCTATAAATCAGAAGGAACAGAAAAATAATACATATCATTTCTAGAGCTTACAACTTCCATAAATAAAAATTTCATTTTCTGGTACTGACAACCTGAGTTTCTACTATGGTAGTGAGCCCTCATCATGTCACTTGCTCTTTATGACTAAAGTAAATATTAAAGTCCACATACCTGATAAATCTGCAGTAGTCCTCTTTCTCTCTCAGCTTTTGAAATGAAATAAGGGTTCAATAAAATGGTGCACTGCAAGTCTTTTGTTCAGATGCATACAGTATATCTTTGGATATGTACAGCATACTTATTTCTTCCAAATGTTTTATTGACCCTGGTGCTTGAGGGTGATGAAAAAAAACAAAAATACTAGAAGCTAAAGTGCTGACATATATATAGGGGGATTTAGAAAGCATAAAGCTTATTGAAGACTATTATCAAGAACAACATTTAATCTGATTATTTCTGTTTTATTGTATTATTTTTTTCCTTGCCATAACTAGAACTGATTAGGGTCTGAAAGCATTCATGTGTTTTTTTCACCAAGAAACATAATGAAAGTCTAAGAGATACTTAGACTTGGGGACTTAATTCCAAGTAGTTCCTCTTCTGAAATTTGAACTTGGATCTCATCCAGACTTTCTCTGTCTCGTTTTAAATCACCATTATATATTGCAGTAGCAGCCATGCAAATTAGCACATTCCTACATGTTCAGTCCACTCAACAAAGCCTGCAAGGATAAAATAACATGCCATAGGTATAGCCTTTGATTTTTCTTATATTAATTTTATGAAAAAATTGTGGAAGGGAGGAAAATGTTGGGTTTATTTCTAACCAACAATGGGCTACGAATTTTTAATTCAGTGAAGCAGAAAGTTAAGCCAATTTCAGGAAAGGGAAAGGACTTGGTTGTGTGGTGGTGAATGCGTTACCAGATGGACACTTTCCTTCCTAGAAGAGAGAAATTCGATTCAATAAACTGAGGGATGAAATATAACTTACTGGTACATTTAAATTGATGGCTCAGAAACCGGCTGACTTTAGACAAGCTTAGATCCAATGTCTTGGGTCATTTGAGCTGCCATAACAAAATACCTTTAACTAGGTAATTTATAAACAACAGAAATTTACTGCCCACAGTTCTTTGGGCTGGGAAATCTCAGATCAAGGTGCTGGCATATTTGATTTCTGCTGAGGACCTATTCCACATAAATGGCACCTTCTTTGTAACTTCACATGGCAGAAGGGGAGAATCAGCTCCCTGACAACTCTTATAGGAGGCTATTAAGTCCACTAATGATCTAATCACCTCCTGAAGATCCTACCTCTTAATACCATCACTTTGGTGATGGTAGACACAGGGGGCTGGTTAGGTTTCAAAATATGAATTTTGGAGGGAAACAAATATTCAGGCTATAATACTCAGGGATGCAACAAGGTTATTTTTCTCTTGATATGTCTCATTGTTCAGCTTCTCTTAGAGTTGATGCTATGATCTGAATATGTCTCCCCAAAACTTGCATGTTGAAGTCTTCATCCCCAAGGAGATAGAAGCAGGAGATGAGGGTTTGGGGAGGTAATAAGAATTACATAAAATCATCAGGTTAAGCCCCCATCATGGATACTACTGGCTTTATGAGAAACAGGAAAGAGACCAGACACTTACATACATATGCATGCTGTCTCTTGCTACATGATGCTGTTCTGCCTTAGGCTACTGACAACAAGAAGGCCATCACCAGATGAGGCCACCACACTCTGCATCTCCAAGATGATGAAATAAGTAAGCTTCTTTCCTTATAATAGTAATCTGCCTCTGGTATATTGTTATAGTAATAAAAAAATGGAATGATCTGAGGGCAAAGCCCTTATATATGGAAATGATGCCTTTCATAAAAGAAGTCTAAAAATTAAAAACCCTTTGCTCCTTGCACTACACAGGATACATCTGGAAAGTACCACTTGTGAATCAGACAGTGGGCCCTTACCATATGGAATTCCCAGCCTCCAGAACTATAAGGAATACGTTTCTGTTGTGTACAAGCTACTCAATTTATTGCGTTTCATGGTAGTAACCCAAATAGACTAATACAGTTAGTCTCTGTCTTTCTACCGACAGACAGGAACTCATGACATAGTAGAGATGTTGCCATGAGCCATCTATTTGTATTCTACCTGTTCTGTGATTCCAAGAAAAGGCTTTGTCATTCATTCCACAAGTATATGTTAGTATATGTTGCATACCTCTTACGTGAAAGACCTGTCATGAAGCTAACATTCTACTGAGAAGGAATAGGAAGTAAAGATATGGAATATATTGATGTAACTATGTATCCAAATTATTTTTCTCTTTCCTCTGGAAGCTTAACTTCAGAGATCTTTGAGAGTCCTGCCAATCAGATGATCTTTGAGGGTCATGCCAAATGAGAAATATGATTTCCTTTTTATTTCTTAGGTTTCAAAGCACAAGCCACTGATTGCTTTGAAAATGGAAGGGGGCTAGGTGCTGAAAATATGGACAGCCTATAAAGCTGAGCAAAACTAAGAACAGATTCTCCCTTAGAGCTTCCAGGAGGAAGGCAGTCTTGGTGGCACCTTGATTTTAGCTCAGTGATACCAATTTCAAATTTTTGATCTACAGAAGTGTAAGATGATAATTTCTAAGTTTGCAGTTACTTGTTGAAACAATAAAAGAAGGAAAGAAGGAAGGAAGAAAGGAAGGAGGGAGGGAGGGAGGGAAGGAAGGAAGGAAGGAAGGAAGGAAGGAAGGAAGGAAGGAAGGAAGAAAGGAAGGAAAGATATATTTCCTTAAAATCCTCTGATTGGTGTCACCAAATGTATCTCCAAGAATTCATGCCTTCTTTTTCCTTCTCATGTTTTCCTTCCATCTTTGATTTTTCTCTCTAAACTTTGCTATGATGATTTACCATCTATAATTTTTTTTTAACTTTTATTTAATGAATATAAATTTCCAAAGTACGATTTATGGATTACAATGGCTTCCCCCCCATACCGTCCCTCCCACCCACAACCCTCCCCTTTCCCACTACCTCTCCCCTTCCATTCACATCAAGATTCATTTTCGATTATCTTAATATACAGAAGATCAGCTTAGTATACATTAAGTAAGGATTTCAACAGTTTGCTCCCACACAGAAACATAAAGTGAAAAATAATAGATGATTTTTTTAAATGATGATGAAATCAGATCAGACCTATTGTCATGTTTAATCCCAGTGAGAGTCAAGTTGGGAGTTGATAATTTCTTTTTTTTTTTTTTTTTTTTTTTTACAGAGGATCAGTTTAGTATGCATTAAGTAAAGATTTCAACAGTTTGCACCCCCATAGAAACACAAAGTGAAATATATTGTTTGAGTACTCGTTATAGCATTAAATCTCAATGCACAGCACATTAAGGACAGAGATCCTACATGAGGAGTAAGTGCACAGTGACTCCTGTTGTTGACTTTACCAATTGACACTCCTGTCTATGGCATCAGTAATCTCCCTATGCTCCAGTCATGAGTTTCCAAGGCTATGGAAGCCCTCTGAGTTCTTTGAATCTTATCTTGTTTAGACCAGGTCATAGTCAAAGTGGAGGTTCTCTCCTCCCTTCAGAGGAAGGTACCTCCTTCTTTGAAGACCTGTTCTTTCCACTGGGATCTCACTCACAGAGATCTTTTGCCAGAGTGTCTTGGCTTTCCATGCCTGAAATGCTCTCATGGGCTTTTCAGCCAGATCCGAATGCCTTTAGGGCTGATTCTGAGGCCAGAGTGCTATTTAGGACATCTGCCATTCTATGAGTCTGCTGAGTATCTCACTTCTCATGTTGGATCACTCTCCCCTTTATTTATTCTATCGGTTAGTGTTAGCAGGTACTAGACTTGTTTATGTGCTCCCTTTGACTCTTAGTCCTTTCATTATGATCAATTGTGAACTGAAATTGATCACTGGGACTAGTGAGATGGCATTGGTACATGCCACCTTGATGGGATTAAATTGGAGTCCCCTGGTATGTTTCTAACTCTACCATTTGGGGCAAGTCAGCTTGAGCATGTCCCAAATTATACATCTCTTCCCTCTCTTATTCCTACTCTTATGTTTAACAGGGATCACATTTCAGTTAAATTTCAACACTTAAGAATAACTGTGTATTAATTACAGAATTAAACCAGTCATATTAAGTAGAACAGACAAAAAAAAAAACTACTAAGAAGGATAATGTATTAAGTTGATCATTAACAGTCAGGGCTATGCTGATCAAGTCACCGTTTCCCATAGTGTCCATTCCACTTCAACAGGTTTCCTTTTTGGTGTTCAGTCAGTTGTCACCGATCAGGGAGAACATATGGTATTTGTCCCTTTGGGACTGGCTTACTTCACTCAGCAGGATGTGTTCCAGATTCCTCCATTTTGTTGCAAATGACTGGATTTCGTTGTTTCTTACTGCGGTATAGTATTCTAAAGAGTACATATCCCATAATTTCTTTATCCAGTCTACCGTTGATGGGCATTTGGTTGGTTCCAGGTCTTAGCTATTGTGAATTGAGCTGCAATAAACATTAGGCTGCAGACTGCTTTTTTGTTTGCCAATTTAAATTCCTTTGGGTAAATTCCAAGGAGTGGGATGGCTGGGTCGAACGGTAGGGTTATCTTCAGGTTTCTGAGGAATCTCCAGACTGACTTCCACAGTGGCTTGACCAGTTTGCATTCCCACCAACAGTGGGTTAGTGTCCCTTTTTCCCCACAAACTCGCCAGCATCTGTTGTTGGTAGATTTCTGTATGTGAGCCATTCTAACCGGGGTGAGGTGGAACCTCATTGTGGTTTTGATTTGCATTTCCCTGATTGCTAATGACCTTGAACATTTTTTCATGTGCCTGTTGGCCATTTGGATTTCCTCTTTTGAAAAATGTCTATTGAGGTCCTTGGCCCATCTCTTAAGTGGGTTGTTGGTTTTGTTTTTGTGGAGTTTCTTGATCTCTTTGTAGATTCTGGTTATTAACCCTTTATCTGTTGCATAGTTTGCAAATATTTTTTCCCATTCTGTCGGTTGTCTCTTCACTCTCCTGACTGTTTCTTTTGCAGTACAGAAACTTCTCAATTTGATGCAATCCCAATAGTTAATTTTGGCTTTGACTGCCTGTGCCTCCCGGGTCTTTTCCAGAAACTCTTTGCCTGTGCCAATATCTTGAAGGGTTTCTCCAATGTTCTCTAGTAACTTGATGGTGTCAGGTCGTAGATTTAGGTCTTTAATCCATGTTGAGTGGATTTTTGTGTAAGGTGTAAGGTAGGGGTCTTGCTTCATGCTTCTGCACGTGGAAATCCAGTTTTCCCAGCACCATTTATTGAATAGACTGTCCTTGCTCCAGGAATTAGTTTTAGATCCTTGATCAAATATAAGTTGGCTGTAGATGTTTGGGTTGATTTCTGGTGTTTCAATTCTGTTCCATTGGTCTATCCATCTGTTTCTGTACCAGTACCATGCTGTTTTGATTACAACTGCCCTGTAGTATGTCCTGAAATCTGGTATTGTGATGCCTCTGGCTTTGTTTTTGTTGTACAAGATTGCTTTAGCTATTCGAGGTCTCTTGTGCCTCCATATAAATTTCAGCACCAATTTTTCCAGATCTGAGAAGAAGGTCTTCGGTATCTTGATTGGTATTGCATTGAATTTATAAATTGCTTTTGGAAGAATGAACATTTTGATGATATTGATTCTTCCAATCCATGAGCATTTTTTTAATTTTTTAAAAATAGTTATTTTATTTAAAAGGCAGAGTTACAGAAAGAGAGGGAGAGCGGGAGAGGGAGAGTGGGAGAGGGAGGGAGGGAGGGAGGGAGGGAGGGAGAGAGAGAGAGAGAGAGAGAGGTCTCCCGTCTATTGGTTCATTACCCAAATGACTGCAATGGCCAGAGCTGAGCCAATCTGAAGCCAGGAGCCAGGAGCTTCTTCCAGTTCTCCCACATGGGTACAGGGGTACAAGGACTTGGGCTATCTTCTTCTACTGCTTTCCCAGGCTATAGCAGAGAGCTGGATCATAAGTGGAGCAGCTTGAACCAGTGCTAATAGGGGATGCTGGCACTGCAGGTGGCTGCTTAACCCATTATGCCACAGTGCCAGCCCCTATTTGCTATAATTCTATCCTGTCCTTTTCTATACTGAATTTGTGATCTTAGGGGAAAGTAATTGTTACCAATCCTTGAATACATAATTTACAGGTTAATGCTGAAAAATAGCTATTTTAAAAAGTCTTTCTTTTATTTATTTCTGCTTTCAATTTTACATATGTGTAATGTGAGTACCTTTTGTTCCATGGCTTTAAAACGTGTGCTCTTGAATTTGTTTCCTTTCCTCTATTCAGGAACTAAATATTTATTGAGCACCTGCCATGTGTAGCACATAATGTTGTGTACTTCTGTAGTTACATGTATAAGAAATGGTCTAGATTACAGAATTGGTAGAAAAGTCACCTTTCTATAACATACAAACGTAATTGATAGATTCACATAAACAAAATCTAGGCACTGGAAAAATTGTTTTGAAGGCATTTGTTAGACATAGTTGTTATTTAGTAAGAATTAAATGAATGTAATATGACAGAGATTTCTCTATTGCCCTGATTTGTTTAGGACTGTGTGAACAAATTAAATCTGATTCCATTGCATCTTTTAAAGAAACAAATATATTGCCTTCTAGGCTTTCTTAGAATAGAAGAAAAATCAATGCAAATAAATGATTTTATTTCTTTGCTGGCATCACAGTTGCCCTGAAATAGTTTGCATATTATAAAATTTTATGTGCTTTCTTTTTAAATCCTAGTAAGGCAAATATGTCTATCCTTTATTATGAATTTCAGTAATCTGTGTTTTTTTCTTGGCTAACATAATGAAAGACAAGCCCATTTCTAAGCGATCAAGCAAAGGGGAGAGTTGGAAGGAGCATACCCTGTCCATGTATTTGAACCTCCCCTAGTTCTCTACAAGCAAGCATTATTTGAGCCTTGTTTTAAATCAGCTTTACTATGAAACACTGGGCTACCACCTGTGTTTCAAAGCAGTTCTCTGTACAGCTTGAAATCATTAGGGAAGTGGGGTGGCTAAAAGTGGAGCTTCAAAGACCTTGCTTTACTGAAACAATACACCACACGCACAGCTAAGGAATCAACAGGGGAGACACTGCAGGCAAGGTCAAAGCTTACAATAAGGTCACTTACTTTTTCCAGCATGTAGAGACCCATTTGCTGGCCCCTAACAATTCAACCAGGCATAACTAGGAGAAAAGAAAATAATCATTTGAAATATCCCCTGTCCTGAAAATGTCACTTATGGTTCACTGAAATAAGAAAACATATCTAAGAAATGTAGTGATTTGATTGTCTGATGAGCTTTAGGAGTCTTGCCTGCAATCAACTCTATTCAGTCTCTGAACTTCATAGTCTTGAATGAAGCTGATTGCAAAACCTCTTTTTCCTATTACTTAATTGCCAACACAAATATATATTTTCCAAAGTTGACATTTTCTAATTGCAATAAGAAAATTGCTCTACTTGACCAGTGTCCATTTTTGAGAGACTTGATAATATATCCCTCTAATCCCTGTATTTGGCAAGTGATGAAATAATGATTATGTGCGTGGGCTCCAGTCAAAGATTGCCTGAGTTTACACATCAAGTTTGATATAATGGGTGCTATTTTGTATGATTAATTTGGGAATGCCTTCTTTTCCTCTTCTGGAAAGTGGAGCTGGCCTGAACCTCTGTCTAATGAACAACCTCTTATTGGAGGATTACATGACATGATAGTTACTTACAAAGTGATTGTAAAAGTGCTTGTTCTATAATAAATGCTCCATAAATGAGAGTCATTTGTGTTAACGTTCTTCAGAAAATCAGAACCAGCAAGATGGATATGTATATATAGAGAACATACAAATATGTGTTTATGTCTACTTACTTATTTACTTACTTTAAGGAATTAGTTCACACAATTGTCTCTACAATTTTGGTAAACCTGCATGCTGGATCACAGGTAAGAAATGCAATAGGAGTCCAAGGCCATCTACTAACAGAATTCCCTACTCCTTTGGGGAGTTTAGTTTTTTTCTATTGAAGTCCTTCAACTGATTGGATGAGACCCACCCATGGTATGAAAGTTAATCTGCTCTCATCAAAGTCCACTGTTTAAATGTTACTTACCTTAAAAAATGTTCACAATATCCATAATAATATTTTACAAATTATCTAGGCTCCATAGCCCAACATGTCACATAAAATCAACTGTTATGGACTGAATGTGTTTTCCTCCCTGACTTCTGCCCCAATTTGTACCTTAAACCCTAACCCACGATGTGATGATACCTGGAGATGGAGCCTTTTGGTGGTACTTAGGATTGCATGAGGCCACAGAGGTAGAGCCCTCATGGCAGTATTATTATTGCTGTGGCAGCCTGAGATGATTCAGACACCATCACACTGTTACTATCAATATATAATCCCCAGCTAAATACATAATCTCAAACTAAATACCATAAAGAGGAGAGAACTAAAAGACTTGCCAAAGAAGGCCTAGATATGTGTCTCTCTTACACTTGTCAGGGCCTTCACTCTCCATCATGGGAGTCAGAATGAGAGAGAGGTTGATTTAAATCAAGACTGAATTTTATGACTTAGGCACTACTTAGGAGGAAAACAGACAGTTGTTAAACTATATACAAAATATATACAATATAATGCATATTTTGTATCTCTACAAATCATACTTCTATAGTATTTTCCATCTTCATTATTAGATCATTTCTTGCTGTTCTTTTTATTGATTGATTTTTCATTTACTTGAGAGGAAGGGATAGAGGGAGGGAGTGAGGAGGAGGAAAAGGAGGAGAGAGAGAGAGAGAGAGCAGGAGAGAGGGAGCTCTATTCACTAGAATATTCTATTTTGTTCACTTCCCAAATTCCTTGGGCTGGTGCAAAGCTGGGAGCTGAG